CCGGCACATATGAAGCATCCTGTCCTCCCCTTAGCCCTCATATTTCAGTCCAATTCACTTTACACTGCATCCCTCAGGAGCCGTAAAGCGAGCGATCTGCTTCACTCAACACAGAGAAACATTCTGGGTAAAGGTAGGTGGAATTTCATTGGCCTGCGGTAAAACCAAACCACGCTGAGCACCATAAACTCAAACCTCCAGACCGAGCTGTTTCTTATTTGGGCATTTTTACATTTCTGAAGCGAAGGTGTATTTTCAGTTTATTCCAACGGGAAGAGGACACATGCCATCGCGTTTATGCCCGGTCTAATTTAAGCATTTCACCAACGGGAGCTTCTAGTTGCTTCTCTTGCGTTTTTAGCCGTCTTGTACATCTCCTTGTTTCCGCGGAGGCTTTCTTTTTGCCGTCCTTCTGTTTCTCCCAGTCCGCATCACTTTTTCCGTCTGTTTGATCCTTCACCTCTCTCGGCTTACGGTCGCTCCTTTACTCGCTCTGTGCCATTGTCTTCCTCTAATCCTCTGCTTTAAGTGCTTTTTTGATGCTGTGATTTTCCTGCAGCTGTGAAATCACAAGACAAACACTCGTAGCCTTTACAAAGCTCCAGCTTTGTTTGACAACACTGACGGAGAACCTGGAGTGTTTTAAAATATTTAACATGTACAGTGGTGCTGCTGTGATGTTTGTGGCTACCAAAGAACCAATTCATTTATGGTCTTATACTCATCTGTGTAATCAGACAACGCAGCCTCTTTTAGACTAACCAGTGCTGAGGAGTTTGTACTAATACCTAGAATCGCCGTTCGTGCAGAACCGAGCTCGCTGGCTCGCTGCTTTGTGTGGGAAACCCATGTTTACAGTTGGTCCTCAGCAAATGCAATGAATGTTATTTTAGCAGATAACGACGAGCCAGGCAGATATTAAGTAGGTGTGTTGAAAATGTACAAATTTGGCTCCCATTCCACTTTCAGACGCACTCGCTCTTAACCTCAGTTACCCTGAGGCTCACTTGTTCTGAGTCTATGAGCTGTTGGTACCTGCTGAGTATGAGCTTGCTGTTGGAGACTCCACCGTGGCAGCGCTTCGTATTTGGTCCGGTTTTGTTAGATTTGTGTTGGACAAAGGGACGGTGACCATACTTATAGTTGCTTCTCCTGTATGTCTGTCTGACTGACGCTTAAAACGAGAGCATGCAGGATTGTGTAGACGGAAAGCATCAGCTACATGTTGAAGTAGGATAAACCCACCTGTCCTTCTAGGCTCCCTCTGACCACAGCTTCAAACACATGAACACACTGTTTGAGTGCAGCTGGCGGACTAACTCAGGAGCGTGGCACATTAAAAGTACCTCAGGGGTACAAACGCACTATCAGGCTACATGACGATTTCTGCCAGACGTCCTGCTCAAAGCCAACACCAACACGTGTTATAGTAACGTGAGATAAACTGCATCAAACGACACCTGCTCACAGCTCGGCTACGACACACAGAGGAGCCAAACAGGTGTGTGTGAGCATCCTGGAGGAGGATGTAGACCTCAGAGACTCCAACAGATGCAGGATGCTGTAGGTAACGTGTCTGCACTTTGCCGTTTATGTGCGTTGTGCTCACCTCCTCTCGCAGTGTGTCAGCCAATGAGGGGAGAGTGTGTGCAGGTAGCCAAGTTAGAAACAGAGTAGGCCGTCCAGTCTTCTCATGTGGACCAAATGCAATGATTGGACGGGCTTTTTACAGAACTGTGACTGCCACAGATAGCAGATTTCTCTTTTTTGCTATTAGAGCACTTGATTTATTGATCGCTGTGTATTGTATAACTGTGTACTTAAGCTTTAAAGTCAAAACCACCATGAAGAGCCATTCAGGGTGCATAACCCATCCTCACTGCAGCTCCTAACCCCAACTTCATACAGGTTACTCATCCACTGGAGTGTGAAGACTGGAAATGCTAGAAAGTGCAAAATCCTGCCATGGCACAAATATCAACCACTAGAGCTAGAATTGGGATAATGCCACTGAACTGCATAAAATATCAAATGCAGTAGACTCAGTGAAAGAGTCGTGACAAACATAAAGCCTGTGACTTCAGTGTCCACTGAAACTAGCAGCAGACATCAAACCTCAGGTCTGTCTGGAGCAATGAGGAGAGCGTGCCGTTCCTTACAACAGAGATGTTGTGTTTCCATCGTGTCGTCTGCTTCTTTCTCATTGTCTGAGGTCGGACCGACTTTCTTTTCCTTACATCATCTCGTTGCACCCTCCTCTCCTGCAGCGCCGCTCGGCTAACTGACTCCTCCTGATGGAGTGATGTCGACCTCTCCTCAGTCCATCACCTCGCAGTGTAAATAATTAACTCTCCCGGTTCAGGGCTGTTTTAACAGGTGCTTTACTGGAGTGCGCAGCCTTGTGCATACACTTAAATCTAATAATCCAGACCAATTTAACCATAAAGCTGTCGCGGGAGAAGGGAAACAGTCATTTCCTCTCTGACCGCAGCCCAGCGACGGCCCGGCCGGCCAAGGCTGCACACTTGTGTTCACCTTTGAGCATGTGCGTGTCAGGTCCTGGTGAGTAAGTGGTGTAGGACCGTTGTGCTGCTTCCTGTTCGAATGCCACTGCTGCAGTGGTTTGTCTTGACAAAGAGGTTAGCGGTCAGTCCGCAGTGGGATTCACATCCTGTTCCCTCGGGGCTGTTTGTACCAACTGTGAGCACAGATTTTGGTGTCTCACTACTGATAAAGCAAAGTTTTAGCACTGATTTAATACTCTTCCTTTGTGCCTTTTATTTACCCAGGTAAGACTTTGGGGAAGTCTTGTTCCAGCTCACCATGTGCCACTGACAAACGTGTTAATATTCACACTCTGTTAACGCATTCTTCAGGGCTGTCAGTTTACAGTTCCTCTGGAATAGTTGGAGAGCTAAATGTTCTGCTGGAGGATGCTGTTTCAGGAGGTGGAGTGTTATTCACTTTCCCTGTCCTGTTCATCTGAGCTGGTGGAGTGTAGAGCCCTTTCCTGTAAGCAGCTTCCCACATTCCTAAACTGGAAACGGCACCCACAGCTCCCTCCCAACAGGCCTGAATCCTCACATACTAATTGCTCTTACATTTCTCAAAGCCACCTGTACTCGTCTGAAGATCTTCAAAGCGATCCCCACCCCGTGACATTCGTGTCTATGTACATGCCAAGTCATCGCCGTGTAAAGGAAGGGGTGTGTGTTGTGTGTCATTAGCCTCTCTCCTTCCTATAATAAAGAAAAAATGCATCACTCTCTTTTATTCGGCCTACACAGACGTGCACACATCCAAACAGCGCTGCTAAATAGATTCCTGGCAAACACAAGCTGTGTTGACAGGAGAGATGAGCTGCTGTTCCTGTTGCAGCTTGCCGAGGGCACAGAGCCGGGCCCACGTTCAAAAAGCGCCGCCACTGTTGAAGCCACAAAGCCAGCAGACTTGTTGCTACTGCCTCTGCCAACACACACAAACACAAACACACACACACACACACACACACACACACAGAGCCGTGCACTGCCGTATCAAAGGCAGCCAGGCGGGTGCTCGACTATTTGAACAGGTGATTCCCATTTACAACTGCTGACCCTTCTGACTTCGTGCCTTTTAGGAAGTTACACTGTCAGGCGAGTCAATCACGCACTGGTGCTTTGCTGCGTGTTCATTTGGTGGCTGATTGGTCCGAGTGGAACCGTCTCAGTTGGAGTTTGCAAAGAATTCTGAATTGGGTATTCACTTATTTAAAGGTGTCTCAGTTTCCTAATTAAATCCAGTTTATCGTCACTTTGCTGTACATCCACAGCAGTACAAACAAAATGAAAGAGCGTTTCTTCAGGATCCAATAACTTAAAACAGTTTAAATAAACATCTGGATCAGCGGTTCAGCATTCTGACAGCTGTTGATCAGTCTGGAGGTTCTTCCTTTAATGCTCCAGAAATGTAATAATACCCACTGTGTGTTCTCTTATGACTGAGCTGAACAAGTGCATTTCATTAGAGTTACATAATTTTATTCAGGTGGTGCTGCCGGCCCGTCTGACAGCTCGTCCCAGCGACTGATGATGATTGCCTCGTGTACAAAGACCTGAGGTCTCGCAGAACACCCCCAGGTCAAGGTGCCATTTGAACCATTTCCTTTCCGATGCCGTTTTTTACCACAGATGTTCGTTCGAGACCCACTTTTGTACCTGGAGCTGCACATCTTAGATGAGTGTAGACCAACCCCAGTGTTTCTGCAGTTTAAAAATCCTGTAATTTACCAGTAATGTAAAAGCATGCCATGTTAAACCACGAGCCTGACCTGAAATGTGCAGCTTCTGCTCTCTGATAGGAAAGTTAGCAGAACCCTTATGAACATATTTCTGTGGAAAGACTCGACCCGGCAGCCAGAGGAACATCCTGCTTCAGAGTCGATCTGTGTCAACATGATTTTACTCCTAAAAGAAGTGTCGTTTTTCACTTGGTTGGTTAAGTGTGACCTTTAATCTGCAGTTACATTGAGAAGCATTGATTTAAAAAAGCATGCTGAACTGTGTGAGTATGTTTCCAGAATAAATGCAGTAGTGATGTAGTGTTCAGCTGAAATGAACCTGATTCCCTCCAGTGTCTCCTCCAAAGCTGCTGAACCTCAGAGAAGCGTAATGCAGTGTCCACAGCAGCTGCACCCCTTGTTGACTTCTGCGTCTGACGGCTCATAATTGCTGACGTCCTGCGAGCCCCTCACCCTCGCTTCATCCATTAAAGGCCCAAGAGCCATTTCCCTAATCAGCGGTGCAGAGGCTCTGGCTGCTGCTCAGCTTCTGTCTTTTAAGTCAGCGTTACAGACGATAATCTCACTTTGATGCTGGTCCGTTTCATTTGGCGTCCCCCAGCAGCCGAGATGCCATCATGTGTCAGTGTTTTGTACCTGACAGTCATACAATGAGAAGTACCGTCCAGAGTTAATGCTGACAATGTTTAAAGTACATCTCTGTGTGCTTTCCCTTCAGAGGGGCGTCGAGGGTTTCTGGAAGTCGGTGGCTCACTATGTGCCTCGGGAGCCGACCGAGATGAGAATCCTCAACCCCTACTTCATCCAGGAGGCTGCCTTCCAGTTCATAGGTCTGCCTTTCAACAACGGCCTGATGGGCAAAGGGGTAAGGATCCCACACACACTCACAACATCACTACAGGTTTACAGCATGACGGGCCCGTGGTGTGTTTCTGTCCTGCTTCACATCACATCGTCTGGTATACGTTTTGTTAGAAAGGAACTCGCAGTAAGAGTGTTTCTTATTAAACTGACAAGTTTTATGGAAATATGGAATCAGTTGTATGCACAGAGCGGGAGGAGCCGACCTCCCTTCACAAGTGAATATCTATATAACGAAAACGATGAAGAAGGCCTGAGCCCAGCATGTTTTTCTGTGTTTCTGGAATGAGAACCATCACTCCAGCTCTACGACAGTATGCAACTCTTGCACCATAACTTGTTTATAAAAATACACAGATGTTACATAATCAGCTGTTTCTGGAGTCATTTAAGGAGCTTTTCCTCATTTTATATGAAATTTTCTTCACTTATGTAACCGGAGCTCAGATCATGAGGACAGTCGAACATAACTGTTGAATTAAAATGCTCTTCTTGTCAAGGTCGATGTCTGTAACCTGCTGCTCACCTTTATTTTATCTTAGTACAGGTGTGACTCAATAATCGGACCCTTAACAATCCTAAACCTTGCTATCCGACAGGTTTTTAGGAAAAACCAACAGAACCCATAAAAACAGCCTTAACATAGCGACAGCCTTGGATTCTGTCTCCGACATGACATTTTATGTCACCAATCAGGATAACGGCGTATTATCTGACTGAACAATCCCACAGATTGGCTACATTCACACTGCAGGACTTGATGCTCAATGAGGATTTCTTTGCGAGTTCGTTCACATTTCCAGTTAAATGCGACTTGTATGTGATCTGCTGTGTGAACTTCATACGACCCAAAAGTGTCTCGCATGCGCAGAAGAGGACACACGCGTCACACGCAGCGAGCGTGCTCAGTGTTTACGGAAGTAAACATGGAGGGTAACAGTGGAGCGTATCTGCCACTCCCCCGCCGCCACCGATGGTGGAAACAGAAGTGTGAGCACTAACTAAACTAGCATCAGCAGCCAAGTACTGCCTTTGTGTTCTGGACACAGAGCGCTCTGACGGGGTGGAAGTGCACAGAGCACTGGTCAGTTAGGCTGAAATTCAGCGATGCGTAGTGTTCTAACAATACACTAGTTATTATAACAACTATGAACAATAATTAACAACTAATGAGCCTTCCAGCATCAAGCCCTCCTTGTATCTCAACCTCTGTCTTGACAATCCGACAGCCTTGCTATCTGACATAGAAGAAGGTTTTACATTTAGTGTCAGATTATCCAGTCATGATAGATACATTTAGACTTCAATCTTCTCTAGTTTCGGTGCAGCTTCACCACTTTGAAAACACAAAGAGGGATGCTGAAAGCACATTAATAGGAAACGATTCCTCTGCTGACGTTGAATCTCTGCTGCAGCCTTGATTAAATTCTACAGTTCTGTATTTATGTTTTTATTCCGTCTTTAGAGGCTGATTTATGAACTTTGTTGGGGATCTACGTCTGTCTAAATGTGAGGCTGCTGCATTAGGTCCTCACCAGAGAGCTCAGAATATTCTGTTTGAGGGATAAAGTGAGGAAATTTTCTAAATGTTGGCCACCAAACAGAGTACAAAGCAGAGAAATTACAAACTAAACATCCCAGAGCATTTGAAATGAAATACTGGTGTGCATGTGGAGGTAGTTGTGTGCGCACACACTGCTTGTGAGGGAATATTGTTGGAGAATTGGCGGGGACATGAGGAGTGTATCGCCCTGACTCTACCCTGTGGGGCCACCAGAACACCCCTGTATGAACTCCGCTCTGCAACATGTGTTCAACATGTGGGCATCTGGTTGTGAGTGTGTGTGTGTGTGTGTGTGTGAGAGAGAGAAAGTGTGATTTGTGTTTGTGTGTGGCTGTTTGCAGCTCTGTCTCGTACAACACAAGCTGCAGAGCTGCAAGATTCGGCCCGATCCGTTCCTAGAACACGTCGCTGTTTCTCTTCGGAGTGTGTGTTTATGTACATGGAAATTAATGAGGAGGTCTATTTGTTACACTCGTGTTTACGCTGAGTGTGTGTGGGTGCATTTGTGTAAAATAATCTGTATTAGGACACGCAGTAGGGGGTTGGCCAGCTGCTGGTCCAGCTCCACCTACCCTCAGGGCTGCAAATCAGTGTAATGATTTAAATGGGGCCTACCTCCACTCTTTCTTCTGCACTCGCATGTTTTCCAACGTCCACACACACACACACACACACACACACACAGTCACACAGCCCCTGTACCCCCCAGATCTGTGGCAGCCCAGGGCGGTTAGGAAGCACAGCTCAGCCCCGTAGATCAGTGTGTCGTAGCAGGGGTCTGCAGGGGTCGCGTCTTAAAGCTAACCGTTAATCACCGAGGGCTCAAAGTCAGTTAGCAGCAGCCAGGCAGAACAAAGACAGAAGTACAGAGCAGGCAGGAGAGCAGATACGTGAGTGGCAGAGGACATCTGTGTCTGAGGCCCAGATCAGGTCCATGGTTCTAATCCTGAACGTTCTGAGTCATCCCTGGTGTATATTATACTTTATCAACACCGGCCTCCAGTCTGTAACTGCGTCTCTGTTGTTCCTGCAGAACATTCCAACTTTGGGAACAGTTGCTATAACGATGGCACTGCACAACTGTGACGAGGTCTCCGTGGCTGGTTTCGGCTACGACATGAACATGCCGCACGCTCCTCTGCACTACTACGAGACCGTCAAGATGTCCGCCATCAAAGAGGTGAGCGGTGGAGCATCAGCACCTAAAGTAACCAGGTTTTTACATTAAATACAGCCCAACGCCGTCTAACTGCTACCGAGAACAACGTGCTCTGGCTCCTCCTGAGCTGCTGTGGCCACAGAGGAGTAACGGAGGAAACAAACAGCTCCAGCCTTTGATTAGAAGGGACCACCGCTCCTGTGGAAGAGGGCGAGGAGGGATTTGGACTGGCCCACAGCCAAAGTACATCGACTTCAAAGCACTTGGGCTGATGGTAGTATTAGTGCATGAATGCTGCAAGGGTTAAACCTCTCCTAGCTAGAATGTGGCACTTTTGAGGTGATGAATATTGTGGCGAAGATGTTTGGAGGTGCGTTAATTGGATCTGTGCTTGGATCAGCTCCTTGTGCTTTGTTAGATGTTGGAAGAAAAAAAAGCTTTAAAAAAAGTCTCTGAAAGAAAAAACAAAACACATGTAGAACTCTAAAGAGGAATAAACCAGATAAAGAGAAATAAATAAAACAACAACAAGTGTGGGAATATGAACACAAATTTATGTGGTCACTTATTTCAATGTGTAATTAGGTATATTTTTAAAATATACATTTTATTTTTGCGTATAAATGATTCTCTTTCGTCCTGTACACTTTTTTTAAATATCTCGTGTTTTTTTTTATGTCATTTATTTATTTTATTCTTCTTTTTGCCTTTAGCACACTTCTGTTGTCGCACTACGCTCCACACAGGACTCTTCTACTTGACATATTACACTTACTGTTTATTTTTGCCTATTTATCTGTATTGATGGTGGTGGTAAGTCTATCTCGGTGCTGTGCTTGGGGATTAGTAAAGTATTTCTATTCTATTATGTACAACAAACGCTGAACAGTGACAACATCCAGTTAAACTCGTGAGTCCTTGGAGCGGCGCTGGTCGTCTGTCGGTCGCTGCAGCATCACGTGTCGTCTGAACCATCATTTTCTAAATGCGACCGATCTCTCTCCGCTCCATCAGTCAGAGTTTCCTCTCGGTGTTTACTCCAGTGGTATCAGAGATGTCGTCCGCGTGCTGACGTACGTAAACCATGAGCTCAGTGCGACGATAACCTTCGTCTAAACTCCCAGTGAACCTTTGGCATCAGCCGTCATCACCCTCATCAGCACTGTCATCATCAGCCACACGCGGCTAATTAATGCAAATAGTTTTGGCTTCTTTTGTTTGGAACCCGTCACCGCTGCTGGTCCCCGGGGTTGTCTGATTATCTGGAGCCACACGGTCGTGAAGCCGTCCACGTATTCCTCCGCTGCTTTGGCACCTGTTGTGGTGCACCAGACGTTAGATTTTATTCACTTCAAGCTGCTACGATCAATATGTTTGTATGAATTATGGTCTAAATGACTGCTTGAATACGAAAAAGGTTGTGACGTGTAGGGGCAGAGAACCTGACTCTGTGGAGCCGTTTGCATCGAAACCGAGCTAACAGAGGTGTGAAGTGTTAGACTCATGTTTACCAGGTAGCCGGTGACATAATTCCACATTAGTGCTGATGATGCTAGCGTCTGCTCAGTGTGTAAATAGCCACCTGTCTGCTAACACGTTATCTCTGTCAGGTTAAAAGGTGGGATCTGTGTGCTGTATATCAGTAATGGATGTCGTCTCCACGAGAGCGGGGCCATATCATAGCTGGTACACGGTAATACCAGTGTACTGCTAGGCGGTGATATGAAATTGAAATATCGCAATAAAGTTTGAGTGAAATGCGCAGCGCCATTGTTTTGGTCCGGTCTCATGCACATGGAGCGAGAAGCACGGCGGCAACCGAGGAGGAGCGCAAATGAATCGACCGACACAGGAGGGCTGGACCCGGATGTCGGAGTATTCAGTCGTTGTGGTGGTGGTCCAGATAGCAATGTAGAGATACGAATATTCGCCCGCCACCCACCACTACCCTCCAAGCAGCCAAGTACAGTACAGTTTTAATGCATATCAGAAAGAGCTGCTTTCTAAATGGGAAAAAAGCACTTTTTTTATTTGCACCAATAAAGTTGTGCAGGTTTGAAGTATTTTGTTACATCGTTATCGCACTTTGTCTCATTTATATAGTGATAAATACTTTTGGCCGTTTCACCCTGTCCTAGTCTCTACGTCTGGAAAGTGAAGCCAAATCAGAAGCGACCAAAACCTGCATTTTTTCCCCCCAACAGCCAGCAGGGGGCGACACCTCTGGTTGTAAAAAGCAGTCCGATTGTATTGATGTCTATGAGAACACGGCCGTACTTCTTAGCTGATTTGTTGACCGAGTAAACATTTCACTAATGAGTTTATGATCCTAACCAGTAGGTTCAGCTTTCCTTCAACACACTGTGATGTTAATTTTGATTAAATTTAGAAGAAAATAGACGATAAAGCAGCTTTAGGGCGGGGCTACTGTGTGACAGGTTGCACCTTATCAGCGTTTGTTTCCTCAATCAGAGCCGCCTCTCCGTCAGTACGTCTGATTTCCAAAGACCAACGTGGTGACGACCAGATGCCAGCGTTGACTGAACATCGTGCAACCAAATTTCTTTTTCTGGTTCTGCGTACAGATGTGATTTCCAGATTGTGTTCTGCGCTCCACATTAATTAAACTAAATGGTTTTGGCTTCCTGACAGTGCTGCCAGTCCATGCTCATCCCAGTCGAAACTGGTTTTTTTGTTTTCTTTTTCCTGTCTAGACCAATAAATTCCTTTCATTGTAAACTACTTTGGAAGCCGTAAACTACCACCCGCAAACAACGCTCATGTTCACTCATTTGAACAAGTTATAAAGCCGACAGCCACCTGGAGGGAAACGCGCCGCTAACGAGCACCAATCAGCCGCAGTGTTAAAACGACTGACAGGCAAAGTACGATGATCCTGTGTTCTGCAGTCCGAGCACACCACATAGCAATGACAGTGTCCCCGATGCTCCTGCAAAACCCCAAAACCTGCTCAGGAGGAGCTCGAGGAACACGACCAAGAGTCCACGGTGCTCGACATGGCTTCAGTAACGTGGTTTTAATGTTGTGGCCGATCGATGCAATGATGACGGCCTCCTGATTATTTAGCTCTTCAGCTTACTGAGCAGCTTAGAAACCGACCTGCAAATGAAGAGTTCATTTGCAAAAACAGATAGTGATTAGTGCAGCTTCAAACCAGATCCCAAAGCGAGCTGAACCTGCCATATTTAAAAGACAACATGGAGGCAAACAGTACAATTGAAGAGATCATTTGCAAAAACAGATCTCTTCACATGTAGATGGTAGACAGTACTGGTTCCTGTTTCTGAGCACTGCTGCCAACAAAATGCTTTGAGTTTTTGACCTATAGGTTCTGTTCATCAGTGCTCAGGTGTTTACGTCCTTGTGCCTCCAGCTGCCGATCAGACCGTTCCCCAGATCTCCTCTCTTCAAAGCTTCAAGGCTAGAACTGCTAATGTATGTCTGGCATGACTTCAGAAAGAGAGGATACTGGGGCTCATTGTTCCCTGAGATCGTTGCTCATCCCGTAGAGGTAGGAGGAGGCTGGACCCAGACGGGCCTGGAGTCTGTTGGAGAGTGTAGAAGGGCCCAGCCTGCTGGAGCTCTCCACTCTTTCTCCTCCTATTCCCTCCCGTACATTTCTTCCTCCACACTATGCCTCAGTTTTTTGGCCATTCCTTCGTCTCTGCATCCCAAAGCGCCAAACAGGAACCGCCGGCTCTGGTTACATCTTACTGACTTCTCATAGCACAGCGGGGAGCAAAGCTGACCCGGCGTGGCTCCACACATGTAGCTGAACACCTGCATGTATGGGAATATGAACATGCTACAGAATATGAATATAGCAGAGTTTATGGGAAACGTTAAACACGGTCCAGCAGGTCTCTCCCCACTCTGTTTGTCACATGACTCTGATGTTTTTCTCTCCTCTGATTCTCTGGCAGTCGTGGACACACAACATCGCCAAGGAGAAGGAGTTCCTCCGCAAGCTGGTGAAGGCCAACGTCATCACAGACCTGACCAACGGGATCTGAGTTTACACCCACCTCCAGTCTCCCTCTGCCATTCCCAGAGGACTTGAACAAACAAGAAGCTGGGAGATGGTTTCACTAGTGGAGTAAAAAATAAAAATCAAACCCTCAGAGTCCGGGTGACCTGCACACTGCCGGGTTTTTATATCAAAGGAGATTATTAAATACGAAAATCAAAAATTACAGGAGGGTTTCTGTGGAGAGATGCACACACATGTGCCTTCTGAACCAAAGACTCCTGCTGACTGAGGCGGGGGGACCGGGCCTGGGGAGGACTGGATCCGCCTGGACAGCTCCGCCGGCCCCGCGCTTCAACGTTTACCACTTCAGACCCCAGAGTATCACACGAATGAATAGGAAGAGCCGAGGCGAGCCGTCGACCCGCAGGAGTCGGGGTTCAGCTTGACTCGACCGGCCGAAGGGACAGAAGACAAAGGGACGAGAGACGACTGAGTGTGGGGATGGTCGAGGATGAGCAGTGCCAAACGTACCTCGTACAGGGGGGAGGCAGTCCGCCTCTCCTCTCTGCTGCCTGAATGTATTCACTTTCCTCAGTGTAAATATCAAAGATTTCTACTGTGCTTTTTAACAAGCTGCAGCAGCTCCCGCCCCCGTCCCCACCTGCCACTGGTCCACTCACTCATGTCATTCTCTTTGGGTTTTTGTTTGTCTTTTTTTTTTTTTTTGCTGTCTGTCCCGGGTCCAAAATTATCACTTGCCAAGTCAGACGGCATCAGTCACCTGCCACACAGACTGGAGTCGCTCTGACACGCTGCCGTAGAGGCTGAGCGCCCACACGGCTGCTCAGAGGCCGCCACAAACATCAGATCAAGTGTTTGAAGGTGTTATCATCACAACTCTAAATCTGTTCTTAGTTTGAAACGACTCTAGCTTTGTAAGATTTTTCTACACTAAAACGAATCACGAGCTGCATCAGGTAAATGTTCATTATTCTGATTGGTGTGTTTTATAGCACAGCTCTGGCAGGTGAGCCCTACAGCACACCTGTGGCGCTGCGTCTCTCTGGTGTCGTGGTTCCGTCTCCATGGCTTCACGGCTGTGGGCCTCCAGGCTGCAGCTCAGACCTACAGCAGCACCTCCACGCTCACGCCGGCTGTACATCGGCTCCCCTTCAGCCTCCTGTTGCTGCAGACTGTCTTGTTCTTCAGTAAATGGTGAAATCTTGGATTGTAGAATATAAATATATATATTTTTGTTTGTAGGTTAATTTTAATTATTTATTTTGTAATGGAGACCCAACGTTTTGGTCACAGGCGGGCCTGCTTTCTGCTGCCGACAGAAGTTTCCGTTTGTGTTGTAGAGCGTAGAACCAGCCCCACATGCTGAAACCATCGACGAATCAGTTTTAAATTGGCTTCATGTTCAATGTGAGCAGCTCTTTGTTTCTGTGCAGTGTGTGTGTCGACACAATGCGTGTGCTCTTCTGTGACGAAGGGCGTAAAATAGGAATTAATTTAAAGTTCTTTAAATTCAGAGGGTGTGGGCGGTGATCAGGTTCCAGTTCTTGGTCCATGTGCTGATCAGGCCTTTGCACTTTGCACATGGACGCTGTGCCACATGCGTTTCAGTATTTTGACAAAGAAAAGTGTTTATTATCACTCTATCATTGTGCGTCTCCTTTTCCTCCCCCTTCAGCAGAACAACATGAGAATGTCACATCTGTTTGCATTTTTATCACATGAATGCGATAATCAGCTTTATATTGTGATGCTGCGTTTCCAGTACCGCAGGCTTTTATTTTGACAGTTTGGTTTTTTAACTTAATGGGTTTCCACCTATTTTCTGTTTTACTTCTTCTTTAGGAGTGCATATTTACTGTACATTGTACACACACACACACACATTTCATTTATTATCCTCAATCAGTCAGCTGCTGTTGTTGCATCTGTTTTATTGCTCTTTCATGTTCTCGATACGTTTCCATAAACGTTGCTGGGTTCGTGCAGCAACACGTTCCCTCAGAGAGGTTCCGCTGGCTTTGACGGAGCGGCTCAGTTTTTTTTTTTTGAGAACGGGCCCTGTATGTGGGACCTCCTCGTGTTTTAGTTTTCTGAGAGCAAAGGTACAGGGAACAGCTGACCATTGCACTATCACCAGGCGCTGTCAGTGCCTTACACCTCATCACCTGAAAACCGTAGCGAGGCGCGTGAAGCAGGAACGTGACGGCAGCTGATCCAGGGTGTGGGCTCAGCTCCAGGTCAGGACAGGTCGCTCCTCATCTCTGTTGTTTGGGACCAGTCCATCTCTTTATGTACTGTATATATGTCATATGCAGTCCAGAAAGACCTGAAGCCTCACGCTGGTGGTTCTGCAGGTTCTAGCCCAGAAGCTACACGCTGATCTTTTAGGTGGATTTTCACAGCAAATTCATACAATTCAAATCCCGAAGCTGCTAGGACGGTGAAATCTTAGTTTCTGTGGGCTGAGATGCAACGAACCACCAGTTTGGTCTTCAGAGTTCTGAGACTAAACAGATTGTTCATCAGCCTGTTGTGTTTTCTTTTTGTTAGATTTGATTTTTTTTTTTCTGAATGCTGGATGAGTTCAGATGGATTGGACCCAAATCTTCCTCCTAACCTGTTCATAACGAAGCAGAATGTATTTGCTTTTATCATTCATCATATTTATGAAACCTTATTTTGATCATTTCGCCATCAGTGGGACGTCAACGTGATCAAAAGTGGTGATGTTTCTTTTTTTATATACAGTTATAAATGGCTTTCTGCAACTCAATAAAAAAAAGTTTGTAATTGATCGTTTGTCTGCATGTGTTTTGTGTTTTAATGTGAACCTGTGGAGCCTCGGGGTAGATCTACGTCCCCCAACAGTGTTTCTTATTGTATGTACATGTTCCTGGGCATGGTGACCTTTCAGTATATCTTGATGTATTGAGTCCACTTTCTGTTTTATGTCAACAAACTTTTCATCCTCTCTAATCCCTGCTCCTGCCACGTGACGGACAGACAGTCGGTCTGCTCGTAGTGCGACAGGCCTGGTGTTAGAGTCCACCAGGTGCTGTCTGAGTGTGTGTCGGTGTGTTCCAGTGCTGCAGGAAGCTCGGTGGAGATGAAGGAGGGATGGGATGGAGCGGTGTATAGAAGGGGATTTCCTCTGCTGCTCTGTACTCTGTATCTCCAACCTGCAGAGTCGGGAGGGGGAAGCCATTTTTCAGTCCTCCATCGGCCAGACTTCCTCCCTAATGCCTCTCTGGTGTGTTTATGTCCCCGCTCCTGTCTTGACTCTCACTTTTCTCCCAACCTCTCCTCCCTTCTCTGTATTCTGAGGTTCTGTTCCCATCTCTCTTTCTCTCTGTATGTTGTGAATTTCTTCCTCCTCACCTGCCTCGACGCTGAGGTGGATCTTGTTTCGCCGAAGGCCGCCGGGGACCCATCTGACACACAATAAACACGCAGGAGCTCAGCTGCGCTCTTGAAGCCCTCACAGCGTCGTCATAAAGCAGAGGAGCTGAGATCCAGCTGTGGGCTGCTGTGAGGTGAAGGAGGACGAGGCGCTGAGGGCCCTTAAAGCGCCTCCGGACTGTCCCGTCCTGCTGTTAACGGGGTGCCAGAAACACCCGGGGCCCCAGCGAGTCACGCCTCGCCGGTCACCGAGAACCTGACCCGGGCCACTCTGACTCGGCAGATTTCCTGACCTCCGCAGGGCGGGATCGAGTGCTCGCTCCCCTCGGCGGGAGAATATTCGCCACCTGGGATCTCCCCAAGGCAGCTGGCCAGACTGGAGGCGGTGGTTCCCGTCGGTCCGGCAGACGGAGGCATGAGCACGCCTGCACCTCCTCAGCCGGCGGGCCTTTTATTCCCAGCGACAGGTTCCCCCGCCCCACCTCCTCTCTGAAGGGCTGGAACGGGGAGGCCACGACCTCCGGGCCTGAAATTTAAACTCCTCGTAAAAAACAGTTGGAAAGGGGAGGAGGAGAACACAGCCTGTCAGACACCCATGTTTTCTCTCCTGCTCTGTTTACTTCATGCCAGGTCAGCTGAGATGAAGGAAAACAACATTCCCGTCCCACATTCTTGTCGGGTTACCTTCGTCTCCGGCTGTGACACACCTTCGGGCCTGTCATGTCCCCGTGGCACAGGAGCCGCCTGAAAGTTTCTCCTCCAAACTTCAGCCAAAATCTAACGAGGTCATTTCAGACTTGTTCAGACTTTGTTGTTTCCTGCTAAGATGGAAACAGAACCAACAAACAAGCGCTCGGAGACGAGAAGCGAGTCCTGAACATCTGCAAGTTAGAACATCTGTAAGTCAGACATTCGGTGTTTTTGGTTGACGTGAGGAGGAGATGGTGCACGTTTGTTTTACACCGCTTTGACGGAGCACATTGTGATTAAAGAAGACAGTAAATGTTGCATCCGTCATACTTAAAGTCCTCCATGTTTGTGAAAGTGTTGCATGAATTCCCACAATCACCATTTTTCATCAGCAAACAGGAGAACTGATGCTCTGTTGTTTCTATCTTCACATCGTCTCCTCACAGAGCTGCTGCTGCTTCAACCTCCAGTGTTGCTGCTTAATGAATGACATAATCGTCCCTCTTTAATTTGACATTTATTCAGCGTATTTACCTCCTTGAGATAAGACTGAGGCCAGAGCAACTTTCACGGCTGCTTTCTTCTGCAGCTCCTGTGCTGTTTACTCGCTCAGCCTCCATCCATCCACATAATAACAGCCCTAATCAGCCACATGCCCACGCTTTGCTTTATGATTTGTTTGTATGAACAATGATACAACAAATCTGCAGGACGCCTGCAGGAATGCAGCTTTGAAATGCTCTGATGAAGTGCTAATTACTGCAGATTTATCTGTGCCGTACTCACTTGCTGAGCTAATGTGGAAACGCGTTGTTATGGAGTTGGGAGCTACAACAGTATGACTTTGTCCCGCAGCTTTTGGCTTTGTTTTCCAGAGTCGGCCCGGGGGCTTTGGGCAGCGTGCTGGATGAGGGGAGTTCCCCACTTGAAAAAGTGAAAACAAACTTAGAAGTTGGAAGAGGCCCAAGAGAAGAAAGTCACCTTTTGGATGGAGAGAGGAAAAAAAACGAGGGGAAGGCCAGGCGGTGAGGGCAGCGACCTGCAGCTCCACAAGAAACCGGAGACACCTCGGAGGGAGCAGAGAAATGCCCTTTAACTCTGCTTCACATCACATCTGGACGAGCGCCTCCTCTCTCCTTTCTGTCTCCCTCCAGCATCACCAAGCAAAATCCAAACCACCCACCCTTTCTCTCCCATCCGGTCCTGACCTTGAACGGACTCAGCAGCTCCAGAGGCCCAAACCTGCACCCTGTATCCATGGAAACCGCTGTGCACATCCCACAGAGACAGCAAATTACATTTTTAAGGGTAGATAGTCAAGTTTCATTACTCAAAAAAAAAAAATTACACACAAAAAAAATGTTAAAAAAAAAAAAAGATCCCATAAATTGAGTTTTATATCTTAAAAGGAAATGAAAAATTCCACCACAGCCGACATGTTTGTTGCCAGAAAGGAGGCCTGGACTAGTGTGTGTGTGTGTGTGTGTGTGTATGTGTGTGTACTGAAGATATATGTGTGTGTTTTGCTTGCATGAGGTTTAACTGTGGGTGTACAAACAGTGTCATGCTGCAAATCCCTTTCACAATGCCGAACAAGTTCATCGCCATCGCTCACAGTGATGGATGATGTAGACACACTCCTGAATAACACACACACTCCTGAATATCACACACACTCCTGAATAACACACACACTCCTGAATAACACACAGTCTTGAATATCACACACACTCCTGAATAACATACACACTCCTGAATATCACACACACTCCTGAATAACACACACACTCCTGACAAACACACACATTCCTGAATAACACACACACTCCTGAATAACACACACTGCTTCAATGTGCCCTCAGCTGAAACTCTGCCACCTGTTCACTGTCATAGTTCAGGCTCTCATTAACAACACCGAGGACACTTTTCACCCCAGAAGTTTTATTGAGTCGTATTTTTCAGAGCATTATTTCACAGTTTGATAGTGAAGGAAAACAACAGGCCTGTGCTTTTATTAAGTTCTATAAAGCTTATTTTGACATCTGTGATTCATCCCAGATCCCAACAAGTCACAAATGTTGTCGTTTTTTTATGACCCCTGCAGGTCTTTGTTCCGTCCTGTTGTTATTGAGCTCATCCCTATTATCTGATGGTACATTCCTGCATGTCAGGCACCTCAGCTGTGTGCATTGTTGCCTTCTTGGTCGCTACTAATAATAGTGCTGTGGCAGAGACCAGGGATCCTCCCTGCATTTGTCTCTGCCTCTGCACGGAGAGTGGGCCCGCAGAGGAAAGCTAAGGAGCTGTTTACCCAGCCTTTGTGCTCGGCAGGCCTCAGTGTTTGCCCTGCAGGGAGTGCCTCAGCTCGAGGGCCTTTTCGTGTGTCGGTCGGTGGGTGGGTGGGTGGAGTGGGGCAAACCTGCAGGGTGGAGAGGGACCAGGACAGGAGGCTGGTTCGTCGGGCAGCGATCGGGGGTCCATGGCGAGGCACACTTTCTCCCTTTGCCCATCCCTCAGGGGTGGCAGCAGGTGACAGCCAGCTCCAGAGGCCAGGTCAGGACACATACATGCAGCAGGCTGGCAAACATGTGAGTGTGTACACAGTGACGTCCTGCAGGTGGATGCATTCAGTCATGCAT